TAAGAACCTCATTGTTTATAAAATAAGACATCAGATTTTGGTTTACATTAGTGGCACACCATAATTCACTCTCAGTATACAATGCTCATAGAAACTGTAAAAACAAAAACCAGAAAAATCACAAAAATTTATATTAATACTAAAAATAATAAAATTGTATATTATCACCAGTAAAGTAAGTAAAGCATAGAAGTTGTAATTCATCAAGATGGTAATCCATAATATCAGTATATCTTAATATATAACATTTTATTCAAATTTCAAATTTTGCATAATTATGTATACATAATAAATTTCATCATTGACAAGTGTCTATCCATCAGCCTCAGATTTTGAACTTGCAAATTAGACACTAAATTGCGTAAATGGACTTTCTTCAAAGAGGATTATTGAGTTAAGCATGTAAACATACCTGATCTCTCTGCAAATCGACCTGCAAGGTCTTGTTTCATTTTATTTTACTTGCCAGTTTTTTAACTCCTTAATCAGGCCATTTAAATTATCTATGTTAATAGGAGAATTCAGACATTCTTCTCCAAGTGGAAGCAGTATAATTGAATTTTTAAAAATATGTTTTCTTACCCTGTGTAAAATATTTTTAAACTTAATTTCAATATTCCAAAGCCTTAGAACATAACAATAAAAATGTTTTATTTTATTTATGTCATAATATCAAGCCTGGTTAAAAGAATAGTTTGCATGTAAAATTCTCCATTTCAGTGACCTTAGATCCTGCATCTGTGTTTAAATTAATGGAGAAAGTTATTGTAATCATAGGCTAATATCCTCATTACATGATTTATTCTTCCTATGAATAATAATTAGTGTATGCATGGTTTTATGCAGTAATCCACAGATTGATCTAAGTGAATGGGTAAGATTATGCTAATTGAGCATAAGTCATCATTCATTTTGATTTCTGGATCACCTTCAGGGACCTTGATTCATACTGAATATTTGGTATGAATTTACTTTCACATCAATGTTTTTGTGGAATATTTAAATCATCCCATAAATGTGTAGCTCATGTTATTGCTACTTTAATATGCACATTCTAATAATAGATGAGATTTAGTATTAATTCATGTGCTTATTTTCTTATTATATTTGTTGTTTTCTGATATCCATGAAAATAGCATATATTTTGACATATACATACATGGGGTGCAACCCATTACACTTTTGATCCTATTCTTGTGGTTAAACATGATGTGGAGTTACACTGGTCATTTATGTATGTATGAACAAAGGAAATATAAGTCTGATTCATGCTACTGTGTTTTCTAATCTCAACTCACCTCCCTTTACTTTATCCCACTTTGTCTATCTAATGAATTTCCATACTTCTTCCTACTTTCATTTGTTCTAGGTTATCATCCACATATCAGAGAGAATATTTGGCCTTTGGTATTTTGGAGGACTGGCTTGTTCCACATAGCACATTAGTCTCCAGTTCAATACATTTACCAGTAAATGCCATAATTTCATTTCTTTTTATGTCTGTGTAACATTTTATTGTGTATATATACCACATTATATTTACTGACTCATCTGTTGAAAGGTACCAATACAGGTTCCATAGCTTGGCTATTGTGAATTGAGCTACTATAAATATTGATGTGGCTATGTCACTATAGTATGCTGATTTAGGGTCCTTTGGATATATACCAAGAAGTGGGATATCTGTGTTAAGTGGTGGTTGCATCCAGGTTTTCTAAAGAATCTTCATACTGCTTTCCAAAGTGGTTGCACCAGTTTTCAGCTCCACCATCATGTGCTTATTTTCTATTGCCAATTTTCTTTCTGAAACCTTGGCAATTTTATATAATTTGTTTTCTGTTGCTTGATTCAAATATTCTGGGTTCATGTTTGGATATAAAATTAGAGAAAAGAATAATAAAAAGTATACTCTGTATGTGCTGATTGATTTGGGTACACTCATGAAGAAGAGGAGAAGTAAACTTCCTAATCTGCCATGGAGTAGAGAAGATCTTTTCATCTTGCTCTTTCTGAATTTAAGGGCAATTGAAGCTTGTCCTGTGGAAGGAAAACTATGCAGGAAATTAACAATCATTCCAGTTGAGAGAACCATGTGAAGGTTGAAAAATAAATTTTTATTAAAACTATAGAAAATCTCAAGGGAACCTATAATTGTCTATTCCTCACAGAGGAAAGGACAAAAGAAGTAAGAAAGGAGAAAACTGATTAGAATTTAATATATTAAATTTTTATATATTTGAATGACTTGAAAATGTGTGCATTCCAAGTATAATGTATTTTTAAATAATCTATTAATCAGAAAATATAACATATATTCCAATTTCTCTATTATCACTTTCATTGTACAAAATTTCTATTCACATAGAAACAAACACAATTGCTTGATTTTTAATATTTTCTATATTTAATTATGAATTAGGTTGGAGGTGAACAATAACAATGTAACATGGGATAAGTTACATCCCTTAGTATGGAAGTTTCTAGGCCCCAGAATAACACTTGTTACTTATCTTGGGATCTGGAACTATTACAGTTATTAAAAAATTTCAATATCTCTTTCAGTTAGAGAAACTCAAATCTGCACTGAGATTGTCTCTCACTCTAGTCACATTTGCAGTCATCAAGAATACAAGCAACAATCAATGTTAGTGAGGATGTGGGGGAAAGACACACTCATACATTGCTGGTGTAACTACAAATTGGTGCAACTGTTCTGGAAAGCAGTATGGAGATCCCTCAGAAAACTTGGAATGGATCTCCAATTTGACCCAGTTATCCTACTCCTTGATTCATACCCCAAAGACTTAAGAACAGCATACTACAGTGGCATAGCCACATTAATGTTTATAGCAGCTTAATTCACAATATCTAAATTATGGTAAAAGCCTAGGTGCCCTTAAACAGATAAATGGTTATAGAATATGTGGTATGTACACAAAATGGAGTATTACCCATAATGAGAAAGAAAATTATGGTATTTGTCAAATGGATGGAACTGGAGACTATTATGTTATGTGAAATAAGACAATCCCTCCAAAAAATGAAGGGGGAATGTTGTTTCTGAAATGTCGTACTAACTCACAATAAGGGAAGGGGTGTAGGGAAGAATAGAAGTACTTTGTATAAGACAGAGGATAATGAAGGGAAGGTAGGGGGATTGAGAATAGGAAAGGGAATGAATGAATCAGACATAACTTTCCAATTTGCATGTATGAATAAGCAAAATGTAATTCAATATTATGTACAACCATAATATGAGAAGTTACACTCCATGCATGTATAATATGCCATCTATAATTAATAAGAATAAATTAAAATAAAAATGGAAATAAAAATATTTTAAAATTTTCAGGTGGTGGGGCTTTGGCGGCAGTTCAGTGGTAGACTGCCTGTCTTTCACATGTGAGGCACTTAGTTCAATCCTCTGCACCACATAAAAATAAATAAATAAAGGTATTGTGTCCTTAAAAATAAAAAAAAAATTATCAAGTGAAATCATCGGACCCTTGGGAAATACACTGAATCACACTGAACAAATACATACTAAAAATATCAATGTTTATAGCAGTTCAATTCACAATAGTTAGACTATGGAACCAACCTAGGCGTTCCTCAATAGATAAATAGATGAAGAAAGTGTGGTATATGTAATCAATGGAATATTTCTCGGTTTTAAAAAAGAATGAAATTATGATATTTGACAATAAATAGTTGAAGTTGAAGAATATCATGCTAAGCAAAATAAACAAATCCCATAAAAACAAAGGCCAAATATTTTCTCTAATATGTGGATGCTAATTCACGATAATGGGCACTAGGGAAGAATAGCGTTACCTTAGATTAGGTAAAGAGAAGTGATGGGAAGAGAGAGGAAGGAACGAGGTGATAGGAAAGAGAGTAGAATGAGACAGACATTATTATTGTATGTATATATGTGTCTGCAGGACCAATATGATTCTGCAACATGTACACTCAGAAAAATGAGAAATTATATCCCATCTATGTATGATATATCAAAGTGCATGAATGCATTCACTGTCATGTATAACTAATTAAAACAAATAAAGTAATTAAAAAGAAAAGACTGATATTTATGCCCAGACCACCTGCATCCTTGCCACTGGATAGGAGACAGGATATTTTCATGCATGACTGTAAACATTCATGAGTCCTGCAATCTGAGTCCTTCCAGAGTATCCAGTCCCTGTGGCATTACATGTAGCCAATGGTGGCTGAAGTGCCATATGGCTGTTCCTGGCTGATAGTCACAACCCTCAGTCACTTTCTGCAAATAAGGGTTACAATAATGTGAACTGAGAAAACTTGAAAAGATACGCACAAGTTTATTCTGAATGGCAACTCATAATATTTCACAACAGAGTTCCTTGTCAAGTCCAAAGTGAAAAGATCTCTGAAGCAAAGTTTTTATGCTGTGGAGAAACTAGATGGTTTCCTTCAAGCTAATAAAACCAGACATTTTATGTTCACCTGCTTAATCCTGATCTGAGAAGAATTTATATCAAAGACACCATCTTAGTTGTGTACAGGAAAGTGTCAAGTGAACTATGCATCAATTTGCATAAGGAGTCTGAGGAGAACAAGACGACCACACTGAGGTTATAGGGAGGCCACACAAAGGCTTCACTGTTTGGCCTCACAAAGACAGATTCAATGGGTATACAAGACTGACTCAGGGGTTCTTATCAGAATGTCACATTATGGTGTGTATGGGCTTGGACAACAGGGGGCACTGCAGATTAGTTAAGGGGGATGAGGAAGGGACCAGAACTGTACTGAGCCACCTGGCCCTGCCTGATGCTCTCTTGTTAGGGCTCACAGCTGTGACCTCCAACACCCCTGAGCCAACCCAACTCCACCCCTGCACACCTACTTGACAACTTTATTACAGGAGTGTGAACCAGGCACAAAGTGCAAATAATAAGCAAAACTAGAGGAACCTAATTTGCATGGATAGACCCTCTTCTTCTCAAAATATGAAGAGGGCAAAGGAGAGATTGGAGGAAACTCTCCTCAGCATCAGGAACAGAAGGCAGAGCTCAGGATAACCTTCACAATGGCCTGGTCCTGTTTTCTCTTCACATTTATTGTTCATTTCACAGGTGACAACATATGGTGAAGAAATTGGGTCTGGGAGTCCTCTGATATAGGTTCTGATTCTATTCTTGTTTTTAGAAAAAACTCACCCTTTCTGTCTCTCTCCCACTTCCAGGATCCTGGGCCCAGTCTGTGCTGACACAGCAGCCCTCACTGTCTGGGACTCCAGGACAGACAATCACCATCTCCTGCACTGGAAGCAGCAACAATATTGGTGGCTATTATGTGCAGTGGTACCAAAAGATCCCAGAAACAGCACCTAAGCTCATCATCTATGATTATAGCAAACAAAATTCAGGAGTCTCTGATCGCTTCTCTGGCTCCAATTCTGGAAACTCTGCTTCACTGACCATCACTGGGCTCCAGCCTGAGGATGAGGCTGACTATTACTGTCAGGCTTATGACAGTAGCCTTGATGCTCGCACAGTGCTCCAGGCTCATGGGGAAGTAAGACAAAACCCCTTTACCATCTGTCAGGAGGGTAAACACACTGTAGCTTTTCTCAGACCTAGTCTATGGCTTTTTCTGCTACCACTAGTATAGGCCCAGATGAATCTACTGGTACTCCTTTGAGTGAGAGGCCTCTTATTCTCTGCCCTCAGAATCATTCACAGCAGGGTGTTCCTAGGAAAATATATCCATAGAAAAAGAAGTTCCTGTTCCTCTTTAGCTTGAGAAGTTGAACAGGATGCTATAGGCTCTTTAACCTGAAATTCAGGTGATGAGGCAGCCTGTGCAACCCTGGTCATCTCAGATTTGATACATGATGGGGAATACTGTGGTTCCCCCATCCATTTTCTCTATTTCCAGGCATTCTAGAACTGTGTCTTCTTTTCCTTAGATTCCATTGTATATGTTGTTGATCAATGTTTTAGCTTAATTTCCCTAAGTTTTCTAACATGAAATAATTGGCAGAAAACAAAACATGCATAAGTGAAGACTTTGACAGATTTTGAGATAGCTTCACACTGTTGGGAACATCAGGACAGTCTGGTCAAGGAATCTGTCCATTAGCACTCAAGCCTACTTTTCCCTTTGGGAACCCTCCCTCCATCTCTGCTCACAGAACCTCCCAGGAAACCACTTCCTTTTTTTTTCAGTGAATATTGGTCAGGTTTTCTTTTATATTTAGAACAGGCAGCAGATATTTCTTCTTGAATGATATTTTCCATTCTATAAATTCCCTTTGAGACCCTGTCACATTTTGTTGAATTTTACTTGATTCTGCTGAGGACACATAATGAATTTTGTGGTCCCTGGATTTTGCTGTGTTGATGCACACTTTTTTATGATCATGAGTGGGTTAAAATTTCATTTTATAACTGTAAATATTGACCGCAATACTACCCAGCCTTCACTATATTGATTACATTATTGACCTCCTAATCTAAGATTGATCCTCAAAAATTGAAGGAAAACAATCAGAAATCCTATTCCTTTGTTGTCTCTTCACTATTCACTGGACTCAGCATCTCCTCATGACGCCTATGGGCATGTCTTCTGAGGCCCTTCCCCTCCTCACTTTGGAGACAACTGTCCCAATTCAGGGCTTATGTTAGTCTGAGTGCCACCATGTTTGCTATGTTTATGTGTTTTCTTCTTGTCTTTCTGAGATAAAAGGTAACTCCTTGCATGAGTCCCAAGGAGTTACTTGAAAGCAGAAGGGCATGGTTTCTACCTTGTGTACTCAGGTCAGAGATTTGAGGGTGTATCTTACATTGTCAGGACCTCTGCAAGGACCTTTGCAACTGCAGCACATTTCCTGGAGCCCACATGATGACAAGAATACTCCTAAGAAAATTGTGGTATCTCCATATCCTGGTAACAACAGCTGACACATCAGAGACTCAGAACAGGAACAGGCAGTGAAGGTGTGGATTTCCAGCTGTGTCCAGGACTGTGGCACATCCCTGAGAAAAGATACTAAAACTACTTTGGTCCCTGTCCTGCCTGTGGAGCCTCCAAATCAGGTTTCTGAAGTTCAGTGAGTTAAATAAGAAGTGATCGCCTTTTATGTTTTCCTCTTAATCTCATATCAGTTGACATTCTCAGTGGTTATAACCAATGTCTGGCAAACATCTCATCTTGCAAGGAGTCATGCCGTAACATCAAGGAATAATGGCAAAGATGACAAGACCTTGTCCTAAAACACTTCCCCTTAGATACTTTCAGGGACACAAAGTAGACTTGGGTAATTGCAGCTAAGAGACATAATGTTGGAAAAAGATGGCGGCGGGAAGGGAGTGAGCCGCTCCATGCCCCGTGCCGCCGCACCCGCAGCGTGTGTTGCCCCGTCTTAAAAGAAAAAGTAAGATCATTAAAGGAGATCTGTCGACAAAGACTAAGCACCATGTCAAGAAAGGGGCTTAGGTGGAGTGAGTCCGTCATGACTCCAGCGAGAGCGTGAGCCTGCAGTCCCCGAGCCGCCCGGATCTCTCGGCCCCTTTTCCCTCTCCTATCCGCCTTTCTGCCTTGCTTCTCTCCCTCCGTCTCTCCTCCCACGCTCACTCTCTAAATCTCAATCTCAATTTCTTTCCCCCCGCCCTGCCCACTCTCTCGCATGCCCAGTCACCCAGCCGCGCAGGCCCTGCGGAGCTGCCTCCCCTCCCCCAGCCCGCACCTCCTCCCTGGGTGTCCCGAGGACCTCAGCTGGGCCACTGCCACAGCCGCCACTTCCTGTGGAGCTCGTTAGAGCAGTCTCTTCACAATGCTAGTGAGCCGCAGACCCGCTGAGCAAAATGGAACAGCTGATAATTTGAGTGGCAATTTAAAATCTAAGGGATCCAACATGGCAGCAGACTCAGAGAGATCAAATCTCTAACCCCTTCAGCTGCATGGGCATAGGGAGCCGTAAACTGTCAAAATGCTGTTTGCTCAGGATCACTAGGCAATGTTGAGCTGACGTGGATCTGGGACGAACAGTCTGGGCTTCACAGAAAACACTGAGCCCGGATCAGCTGCATTCAAGCTCCAGTTCGCCTGCTTCTCGTGACTCAGCACTAACGATCCCACTGAAATAACTGGTCGGCCCTACTGAACTTACAGAGGTAAAAGGCAACTGAGCACAATAGCCAGACCAATGGAATCAGGCGTGCTGCAGGACTAGCAGCGTAGAACTCCCGGCTACCACTCCCACCAGTGCTGACAACTGAGGTCCCTTGCACCAGCTACCAGGGGAGTTGCTACTGGAGGGCAAACAAATTCGCTGGGGGTTCTCAGCCCCAAGCTCTACAAACTTAGGGTCTGAGGGAGGCAAACAGGGAGAGTGTGCCCAGGTATTCATGTAAACAAGGCTCCCAGGAGCAGCAGACCTGGCATGTAGCCAGTATTGTGGTGAGTGTCACAGGTGAGAAGGGCCTGGCTTGAGGAAACACAAGAGAAGGCCCTAGGCACTCAGGATTGGAGACCCACCCAGTCTGGGAGGAAGAGCTGCTGCACAGTGATTGGATCCCACCTATTAAGAAGAGAAGCTTGGCCCAGTGGGCACAGCTCCACATACTGGAAGAGAAGTTAATCGAGCTCTATGACTGCATTTATTATTATTATTTTTTCTTTTTTTCTTTTCTTTTATTTTCATTTTTTGTTGTTGTTCTTTAAATTTTTTATTAATGTTTTCAATTCTTTTTAATTCTTTTTAATTTATTATTATTATTGTTTTTAAACTGTAATTTCCATTTTTTAAAATTATCGTTATTATTATTTTTGTTTTGTTTTAAAATTTTCTTTTTTTCTTTCTTTATTTTCAATTTTTTTCTTTTGTCTTTTCAATTTTATTATTCCCTCTTCCTTGAATTCTACCTGCCTACACTCATTCTCTTAAGTGACTTCTTTCCTTCCCTTCTAATATCTTTCCTCCCAAGCATCAAATAAATTTATAACAGTAAACAGTAACTCAGAATTCAAGCAGAACAAGAAGTAACATGAGCAGCATAAAAAAGCAAGGAAGAAAAGGAGTACAAACAATGAAGGACAGCCTAAATATTCAGGAAGAGCTAGAGTCATAAAAAAAAAGGTCATATAAAACACTCAAGGAATACCTTAGACAGATGGAAAGGAACCTTAAAGAGGATACGAGACAGCAAATCCAAACAGCAAAAGATCACATTGAAAATGAATTACATAAACAGATAAAAGAAGAAGTTAAGCATCTTTATCAGGAGATAGAGATTATTTTAAAAAATCAAACAATAATTCTAGAAATGAAGGAAATGATAAACCAAATTAAAAACTCAATCAAGAGTATGACTAACAGAGTGGAGCAAGAAGAAGCCAGAACGTCAGATAATGAAGACAAAATATATCATCTTGAAAAGAGTCTAGCCAACTCAGATATGCTGGTAAAAAATCACAAGAAAAACATCCAAGAGATTTAGGATAACATAAAAAAACCAAACTTATGAGTCATTAGGATAGAGGAAGGTACAGAGATTCATACCAAGGGAATGAGTAACCTGCTGAATGAAATAATTACAGAAAACTTTCCAGAAATAAAAAAGGAAACAGATATACAAATTGTAGATGCATACAGGACACCGAGCACACAAAATCACAGTAGACCAA